GGGGCAATACAGTCTTTCTTAAAACCCATATTAACAACAAAGGATATTTTTTTCTACATCAGCCTGGGAATTTAACTTTCTTCAAGTGAGCTGGTAAAAAAAAATCACTAAGTAATTTTAAATTCTCATATTTATATATACAGAATCCTTACATATTTTAAGAAAAAGAGTATTTTTGTTGCACTTCAATCCTAAGTTAAAGAATACTTCCTTGTTTATGAATCCTATAGCAAATGAAATCAAAAGCGTTCTTCAGAGTTGTTCTTACAACACGCAATACATACACCGGTGCTGTAGTCTGTCACCTATGCTTTGATGTGAAGTAAAAATAGTACATCATGTTTTTAATCTAGGTTTTCATACAGTTATATTCAACTAAGGAGTTTCCAGAGGAAAAACACAATAGATGTGTTTGAGATAGCTGTACTTTAAAAACTGTATAACTAAACACATCTCTAACCCAAGCCTATTCAATTTCACACCATCAAACAAATTTCGTAGTATGGATTCATCCAGTTAAATTACAAATGAAGCTACTCTATCGATCTGCCTCTTCCAATTAGTGTCCTCAACATTTAAGTATAAACATGCTATAAAGATTTTCATTAAATCAACTCCAGATTAAACATTTCATGTGGTCACTGCCATTGCTTACAAGTTACAGCAATCCTGTTAATCACAAGAAAGCAAAAGGCACCAAGAAAATACCTACTCTTCCCCTCAAACAAAATCGTCTGCACCAGGAACTGGGAGAAGCATTCAGGCTGTTATTCTAGGCCAACACAGTAAGAGATAAAAGAAAAGAACAGAGGGAGTATAAAAAAAAATTAAAAAATTAAGTGTTAGGATAAATGAAAGGAAAAGTAACCTAATTTGTTCGCTATATGATAATTAAGCACGGCAAAACTTTTAAGTATCCCTCTTCAAGCCTGAAACTCCACCTAGTATCCATACGTAGGTAAACCACTTTATTAACCACTTTCTCATATCCTACTAGCAAGTATTTAGTACTTTCTTTGTTTGTTTGTTAAGCCTTTCGGAAAAGGAGTTATCACCTCCAAGACAGGAGGACAGCTACATCCATTTAGTCTCCTATGGCATTGAGAAGGGCTGAGTAGGAAGCATTCCTTTACTGCTACACATAAAGGATAAAGAAAACAAATGTCTCCTTAAAAGCTCATCACACTACAGAATTTAATATTCTCCTTCTGGAAGGTTTCATGATTTTTCTCACGCCATAAAACATCACCAGCCAGAAGGCTTCTGAAGCAACAAAAAAGGCTGCAAGCCTAAGAAAACAAGAGAGAAGACAAGGGTACCTCACCCTGTGAAACTCAGCTAGCACAAAGCTTCCATTCCAAAAAAGCTTCGTAGTGCTGCAAAGCACTTTGCTTCTGCTCCACCAAAGGTCCCAAGGACTTCCTGGCACATTTCAAATAGGCTAGGTAGAAGCTTATAAACTACAAGCTGAAGAAGCAAGTAAACTCAGCAGTGTGTAAGTATTTTGTTTGGCTTAAGAGTTTTTAAAATACCCCAGAGCAAAAAATAAAATAAAATAAAAACCACTGCTCTCTCTACAGCCCTGCAATTCAGTACTTTATTTCTGCAAGACTTTCCTGCAAACTACTACAATTTTGTCAGAGTTATTAAAAAAAACAAAAACAAACAAAAAAACCACTACATACTTCTCCTTTAGGCCTAACTTCGAAAAATTGTCTGTCACTATTGCCCGCCTAAAAAAAAAAGGGGGGGGGGGGCCGGGCGGCCTGGAAGCAAGTAACAGCAGAAAAAAATCTCAAAGGTGGCTTTACCACACAAGCATATGGATGTAACGCACAACTGCCAGTAAAATGATTTTGGTATTCAGACCCTGAGAACTACATGTGGAGTTACAATACGTCTAGTCAGATTTAAAATAAACAGAAAAATCCTAGAATAAATCCAGATGCAAATTTCAAAAAACATTTAAGACATGCTCAACAGTAGTATTTCTTCTTCTTTCGAGATCTGCTAAACTTTTGAGCGTTAAGAACCCTTACATCTTTACAAAGAATGGGCACCAAAATCTACCTACTTTAGCAAAAGTGATAAAGACTGCAAGAAAGAACTACTAACTATCTAGGCAGATGCATCACCTATATTTTTCATCAGTCAGCCAACCAAAGAAAATACTATGCAAAACACAAGCAAACTAAAATTAAAAAGAAAAGTAACTTTTAGATAGTCAGCTACAACTTCAGTTTAATTGCATACTGTTCCCTTCAGTAGTATTACCTCGATTATCCTGCTGTCTACAGGCATTGTAGTGCTAACCATATGGACATTTGGTGTGGATGTAGATCGCTGTCTTTGGGAAAGGGAGCCCTCAGAGGAAGGATTTGATGCGTTGAATGTGAAGGCATGAGGCGTAGAATACCTGTGCTGAGAACTGAGAAGGGAAGAGAGAAAAAGGGGAAAGTTGTTTTGTTTTTTTCTCTTGTAGCAGTTAAAAAAAAAAACACTATTCAATATATCCTGTCCAAAAAGCAATATACACAGAATTCCAAACAGAGGACAAGTTGGGATTATTTGCCAACTAAATTATTCGGTCAGCTAAATCATGCCCAGTTTAACTTAGAAATAAGCTTTAAAAAATTGAAGTAGGATTTTGATAGTCAACATACCTGCCTGGTATCTTTAACAGAATTCCGCATTTCTGCCATTAAAAAAATTGCCATGGTTTGCCTCAATCCCTATCAAGTCACATTTAAGATACTGATAAAATACTGTCTCTGCTGGATTAATTCAGGTCTGTGAAATTTAAATAACCTCCTCATTTCGAGCCTATTAAATGCATAGTTTAAAAGCTACTTTTACTGCTAAGCCCTGAGTTTGTAAAGATTTGCAAGACTGTTCAATGGTTCACACAGAACAGCCAGCAAGGAAGTCATGAAACCCAATACCAGTTAAAAGGAGGCCAACACTGTAAAATTCAGTTCAAGCAGAGCTATAAATCACAGCTCAGGCAAATCAGCCCTATTTACCCCAAATCACACAAGTAGCTTAACTGAAGTCAGCCAGCCTTCACAAAAAGTTTAAAAGAAAATCAGGTTAATAAATCATTGTTCAAGAACACTGGAAATAGAATAAGATGGCAAGAAGAACGCAAGATCAATTACTGACGCAGTTCCCGCCAAAAATAAATAAATAAATAAAATCATTTACAGGTCAGCTACGTGCTCTGTGCCTCATTCCTGAATAGGCCAACGTTTGTCAAAAAGATGTAGAAAAAACAAAAGATGGCCTGCCCTCTTCAGGCTCTAGAATTTCAAGGAAAAGGATGCAGGCACAAATTAGGATCAGAAGATAGGCACCTTCAGAAGGAAAACAACTTTTATTTTAGCAGTTAAATCTATAGGAACTTAAGTCTCAGAATTTCCTTCAAGAGCAGCGTATTTTCACTGTTCCCACTGTTTTCTCTTTAAGCTCCTATTTGTAGTCATAACATTAGAACACTATTTTAGTTTATGCATTTAAGTCACGCAAAACAAATAAGTCAAACCCTTATATATATATATATACACACACTACCTGATCAGATGAAACATAAAACTAATTAGCACAAAACCAAAAGGAGCCTTGAATTTTCTTGGGCAGGAAAACAAAGGTCTCTAAAGAACCTTTAATAACCGCATTCAAAATCTTAAGACTAAAAACTGAAACTATAAAATCCCAAATCAATGTTTTGTTTGAATCTAAGAACAAGAAAGGATAACACATAATATCTATGATGAAGTGGTGTTGCCTTCTTGCACGCTCATCCCAACCTTCTACGTGAGTGTTCTATTTTTGAGGAGTTGGGGGTAATTTGGATTTTTTTTTTTTTAAAACTGTATTTCCCAAAACAGAAATGACAGGAAATACTAGCTTACCTAACAGGTATCCGGGAGACAGACTCCCGCATCCGTCTCATTGTCAAGGGAGGTAGTGCAGGGACACCACTGTCACTGATATTTGAATTTGGGAACAATCTGAAATATCAACAAAAACAATTAATTTCAATAGCTACACTACCTCCTATACAATGCTGTTGAAGCTGAGAATTTAAAGGGCTGTTTCTTTCATTATAATTAACTTCATGAACATGTCCGTCTTCACATAGTATTTTTACTCTGTGTGCGGTATGACTAAAAGCTATGTCTGCAGATTCCCAAAGGAAATTTTCATGAGTTATTTCTAAATTTAAAGACTGAAGATACAAGTCTTTTTTACATTCAGTTTCAGATTTTTCTGAAAACTTTCTAGACCAAACTTGCTAAGTTCTACTAAACCCAGACAGTACAAAATGACACAATTCATCCTATGCCTCTGATGACTAGTCCATATTAGAAAATGCATAACTATATGACTTAGTTAGAAACAGCACAATCACTAATTAAGACATATTTAAAATCACTGAAATGTCAATGATAGGTTTTAGTATTTTTGCATAACTGGACTTCCAGCGTTATGATTTTGAACTTTCTCTAATCAATATTAGAGAAATATCACCCTTTATCACTTTTCTCAGAATTACAATTATTTTTTTAAAGTGAAAAAAGTTGTAATCGTTCTGAAACATTCATTTTTCCAAAAGCTAAAGATCAACTGAATCATGAGCTTTTTTTTTTTCCTTCTAACAGAAGTAGTATGTAAGAGGAATTACTGTGTCTTCCTATGTTCAAACAAAAGTGCACTATAGCAATTGCCTGATCTTTCCAGATCTCTTTGTTTGCTTGTCCCAGAGTATTAAGTTTACAGCAAGAACAAAAAGCACGTAATGTAAATGGCCTTCTTTATCTGGGCACAGACAGTCATTGCTGGCTGTTTCATGAAGTTCTTTGTATTGATGAAAGTGATTACACTTCCCAACAATCCAAATTCATCTCTGATTAGAGATAAAAAATTGATGCTCTTCTGTCATGGAGAATTAGTATCGATACTAAAAAGGAATTGTCCTTACAAGAGTTGCCTGATATTGCTCCAGTCGACACACATGGTCGGAACTTTAGTGCTGCAATGTTCGTGGAATTTATAACCGCATGTTTGACACCGAAACCCATTTAGCAGGAACTTCTGGCAGATGTCACAAAATGCAAGTTTCAGAAATGTCTTCCGAGCCTTAAAAAAAAAAAAAACAAAAAAAACCCCCACATTAAACAATTAATTCAAGCTACTAGCTCTCTTAATTAGCTGAAATGAACATCTTTAAAGCTCGACATAAATAGTTACATACCAAGTAAAAGTTATCAGTGCCCCAAGACGTAACTTAAAGCCACACAGAGTATTCTTGCATATATTTCCAGGTAAGCTGGAAACCCGAAAAGATTACAAATATTTAAGGCACTGTTCACCTGATCATTTAACAAAAAATCTAAAGTGCATTCCACCATCTTGTGCCTAGTGAGGTGAGCGAGTTTGGGCGGGGGGAAGCAAGAAGAGGGTGGGTTTTTTTGTTTTTTTTTTTTAAATAAATCTGAAAGAAGGTCAGATCATATGAACCACCTCATTTTCTATTAATCAAATGTTTTCTGTGAGTTTATGTGTGATCAATACCCTCTGCACAAGAAAAATAGAAAAATTCCTTAGCAAGTAAAACCGTTTAAGGAAATACTACTACTTTTAAATGACATCTGATATTTTTTTTCCAAAGCTTCCAAAATTAAAATTTTTACATATATATATATATATCTCAATCAAAGTGTTCCCTCCTCCAGAGTTCCAAACTTGAGCCTCCTCCAGATGTCGAGAGCAATATTGCTTTTTTGGTGACCAGTTGCAGACAAATATAGTTGTAATTTTCTAAAACTGCAGAGCAGAAGCAAAGCTACTTCAGGTTTTATATAAATCATTTCTAATTTTTCTAAATAATACTAAGTAATTATACTTTAGTCTTGTCACAGTGTATTTCTGGGTCGACACAACAAACGGGCTACAACACAGGAATGGAGTTCCCTTGTAGGAAGAATGAAATAGCCCAAGGTGAAACTGCCGGAGTTGGTCATTATCTCTTCATTAAAAAAAAAGAATAAATTTATAAAAATAATAGGAATTCTTACAATTGTTCTCATCTTCCACCTATGTTTATGTTGCTCTTCCTCTTTTACATAGACTAAAAAGTCACACAAAACAGGGCTAGAAGTATTTATTAGCCTTCTCTACGCTGAGCAAACAATACATTGCTGAGAAGAAACAAGCTTCTCATCACCAAAGAAAAACACTTGGTCAAATTACAAGACAGCATTAGCTCACAAAGCAACATCATGACCTTGTAGAACTAACAGCGCCCCTGTACATTTAGTACAATTGCCTAAAGCTCCGCAAGGCTACCAAGCTTATTCAGCATTTATTTACTTATGAATCAGAGACTTAAAACGCAAGTTATCTCCCAATTCTGAACTTTAAAGCATGATATCCAAATACAACTGTTACAGAAACATACACATTCACATTAACCCATGTAACAAGAATGGTAAACATCAGAACTTTGATGAATATGCATCATGCGAACTTTTAAGGTTTCTGACACCGAGGAAACACTAACTGTAAATAACATTCTGGCATTTCATTGTCAACTGGTATTTAGCCATGGGGGGTAGGGGAAAAGGAATCACATCATCACTTCTGGAATTCCCCCTATGTTTAGAAAGCCAAAAGGCACCTAATGCCTAAAGCATTCTTTGAGTGAATATCTGGTTCAACACACACAATTAATATTAAAGTCCAGAAGAGAAAAAGCTTACAAAATTGTGTGTAGTGAGTGGAACGTGATCAAGGAAGTCCACTTGCAGCTCCTCTCCAATCAAGGACGCAGCATCTGTATTCCAATCCAAGCGCACTTTTTTACTGTAAGAAAGTAAGTCAGGAGGGCAAAATTACTTAGGAGATGGAAAAAAAGTTTAGTCTAATTAATAATATGGATTTTGTGCGCTTTGAGTAAACTGAAAATAAATACAAAAGAAGTGGGGCTAATCTCTTATGACGAACTGTATTTCAGCAACTTTTAACAAAAACTTGTAAGCAACTACCAATTTTGAAGCCACAGCAATTCAACTAGTTTTTTGTTGTTGGTTTGAACACACAAGTCCTGTACATTGATTATTTGAAATAAGAAAAGGCATCTAGAAGCTATGGCAGAGTCACAGAAATACCTTTCAAACACAAATAATAAGTTATGAATGGCAGACTAAGTTACGTGAAATCCATATTATGTGCTTCAGCACTGAAGTTATTTGGGACCTCCAAACGGGCTCAATTACACAGAAATGTAAACCCACAAATGACTGTCTCATGACTGAGGGGTAAAAGAGCATTAAGCCCAAGGCTTTTGAGGTGTGAAGTTAAATGTATTAACACCATGAGATACCTTCACTCCCTCAGCTTGTAAAAGAATCATTTGGTATTTAATAGCAGCATCCCCGGTCCTACAAAAAATAAGGAATATCTGAGGTGAGATTTAAATCCAAACATTGAAAAGTTCTAGAGGGCTGTAGACCCTTAAAACTGAACAGAGAGAGGAGATCTTCAGGTTGGCCAAGAATCACTAACGCTGACGTTTACAAACTACAAACACAGAAGAAAATTGCAGCTCAGATATGAACACATACCATACTATTTGATCTAGAGTATGACAAAAAGAAAAAAAAACCTCTAAGACGGTAAAAGCACTTGAGTTTCCCCATCAATTCTGAACATTTTCAATAATTGTTTTAGCATTGAAGTGAAACTAAAATTAAATTTTTGTATTACTCCAGGAAGCTTAAGGAGTTGCCCCTTAGAGGAACTAGGAAAGCAATAAAGAGGTTTTCACAACTAAATTGCACTCTTAAAAGAAGCTAGCAGAAGAGGGGAAGAAAGCATTACTGCTGCTATTCTACAAACACGATTTTTAAATCCTCTAGTTAAAAGTTTCTTACATAACATTATAGACCCTTACCCTTTCGGTTCAGTAAGAAGTCGAAAAACTGCACAGCATTCTGGCTGCAGACCTCTTACTTTAAGCGCCTTCATAAGACAATCATGTAGGGTCATCCCATTTCGCACATTTACCTGTGATAAAAGCGGGGGGAGAGTTGTGATGAGTGATGGCAGAATTAGATTAAGCTTTTTAGGAAATAAGTCAAATTTTTCTCTTTTTCTTTAGAAGTTCCAGTAAAACTGCATAAGTGTAAATAAATAAATAAAAATTACCCTGCATTACGTAACGACAGACTGCTGTGCCTACACAGTTTAATTCACTGCACTTAAAGCCAACCTGTCAGACAGGCATATTCTCTGCTCTACACATAACTACTCTAGACTTATAAAAGGAAGATTTGAAGCCATTTCAGAACTTTAAGGTTTTTTCTACAATTTGCTAAATTTCTGTGAAACAATTTTATATGGCACTCACACATGCAGGTAGCCTATAAAAGAAATAAAAATGCAGGCAAATGGAACTTCCTTAAGGGAAAGAAAAACCTTTGATTTCTGGGAACCTTACTAAGATTTAAGATGCTATTAGTAAGCTCAGCTCCAAAAAATACTCATAGCAGCGTCACCCCCTGAGAAATTTCAGTTTAGCTTTTAACTACCATACTTCGCTGTGGGTATCCAAGTGAGGAAAATGGTGATATAAATCATCCTGTCTTTTACGTCACATTGGCATCATCCTTTAGATCAGTCAGCTACTGTCTTTTAATACTAAAAATGTGAGGAACATATCCTGTTCATGTATATTGATAAACTACAGCACCGAAGTAGAGAAATACAGTCTTTCAAAATACAGAAATTCTGCTTTTAAAAATACATCCTCTAGCATTAACAAACTGATGACAGTTTATCTGATCACAAAAAGACCTTTTCGTGAAGTTTGGCATTTTCACTGACGGATACATTCGCAGCATTAGCAATGGATTTCTTACATACAGGTAACGTAGACTTACCACTGTGCGTTGCTTGTTGGGCAAGAAAACGCGAATAGTATTACTAGTTTTGGAAGTATCTGATATTTTGCCATCATCAGATGCTCGGCGTTGATAACCAAACTGCTGGACAATAGTAGGTGAAATACAGTTTGGGCCATCAAAGACAGAATCCTTGAGTCCAAAACCATTGCTGATAGTCTTCCAGGCTCCCTGAATGTGCTCCATTGATGCAGTCTAAGAAACAACAAAATTAGGAGAGTAGAGGAAAACTGTAATATCCTCAGCTATAAAGAAGTGGTACTCACTCTTCCTAGCAGAGCAGATCTCACAGCCTCTTTTGAAAGCATCTGAAAACTGTGCACTGCCTTCTGCCCTGTGACATGATCAACCTGCACATACACAGTTCACCCACATCTGCATCATTAGCCTTAGTCTTGAAAGCATTTGACTTTCCGTACATGCACAGGTCAGCAACAATGTTCGCGTAATTCTACTTTGACTGCTTCTGTGGTGTCAGAGGAGCACCTTACCATCATCTTAATTTAGGTAATCCATGCCTGAGGAGCCTTCAAGAAGGTAGCTAGATGCTAGCTGCAAGCCAAGAGAATTGTCCTGTAAGCTAGATATGGCCTGGAAGTCATGGACTACATTTTTAAAAAAGGAGAGGCCCAATTGAAATTTTCAATAAAAAGTATTGAAGAGATTCTATTTTACCAGTGATTATTTTTTAAATACGAATATCAAGTTTAATTCTGAATTTTGTTCTATACTAACAGTATGTTTTAATAGTGTCGCAAGGTACATACTGTAAAACAGCAAACAAATTATATAAAAAATTTAAAAAAAAAAAATAACACAGTATATAGTCAGCTGCATTGCACCTTAAACCTTTCCTCCAAATGCAGACATGCACAAACCCCTGTGTACCTCTAAATCAGCACATAGTACTACTTTTGCACACTCAGGTGCAAGATACCAACACATTTTTTCCCAGCTATTACAATTACAATGCAGTTTTAAATCCAAATTATACTACATGCATCTTACTCAAAACTAAACAGAAGCAAAATCTGAAACAGTTTTGAACTCTGAAACGTATTTTTTGCTAAATTTCCAAGGCGCCAGATTCATTACTAAGCTTTCAAAAAGAAAGGGGGGAGGGGGGGAGAAGGTAAAATAGAAGTATGGCAGTTTATTTCCCCATGAAACTGCATCCCTCCATAAAAATCTGAGAAATTTACGTTCATAACTACTCAGTGCAAGTGCACTTTTGTCATGTTAGTAGATTAATGATGAATCAATCGTCAGAAGTTGTGCACACCATCTATCCCACCATCTGATCATCTCTATGAAAGAGAAAAAGAATCATATTAAGGCTGCAAAGTCAAAAAAACAAATTAGTTAGGAAATGCCAAAATAAAGGTCTTCTAGACAATCTTAGTTTAGTCTTTATGGTACAGGACAAACCAATACAATTCCCCTGAAACCAGTAACAACTGAGGGCTCCTCCATCCCCAAATCCTCACAATCTTATGTCAGAAAGGAGGATATCTCTTGTTACAATTGAAATGCTAAAGAGGTGGAATTCAAGGAAAATAGCTTCACTAATGTTAAATATCCAATTTGGGATGCACTAAAGGATAAAACTTTTCAGCGCGCTTCACTAAAGCACAACTCCCACAAGCTTCAGCTAGATTCATAAGTACTCAGCACTGCTACACGTGTAGAAAAGAAATATATAACCAGTAACCTTAATGAAAAAGGTTTGACTCATATGAAGTGCCTACCTATTGCTCACAAACTTTGTAGCAGAAGCAAGAATAAAATCCATCCTCTCCTCCTCAGTAACCCTCTACCTCACATTATACCCCTCTTAACTTAAGAAACAAATCTGCTGCATGTAATACTGCTAAAAATCTTCATGGGAGGAATTCTGTTAAGTTTCTGTTTCAGATTTAAGTGAAACACCACCACACAGAAAGAAACATCATAATGAGTTAGTCTACTTCTGATGCCACTTTCTGGCCTAGAAGTAATTTCCCCCCCCCCGGTTAAGAAACTGTATATACAGGATGTCTTTATAAGCTCTAAAAAAAAGCACATTTTTATACTAGATTCTTAACCTTTTGTCACCTCCCCTTGGTATTTCTTAAAACGTTACAGTCCATAGCCACAAAATGCCAGATGACTGCATTACATAAACTAAGCAGCAGCGATAATTAGATGAACGATCTAAAAGAGTTCCAGAAAGAGCAGTAGCGATTCTACGCTATCGGTACTGCAACAGTGGCCCACTCTTTGAAGTTGCAGCTCTAGGACAAACTGAATTAATCTAAGTTAGTAAGAAACGAATTCAATAAAAAGCTAACTGCTTTCTACCATCTAAATGCCTGAACTGGCTCACCAAAGGATCAGGCGAGCATTTGTTCTGCTTGTGCAGCTGAGAAGGGGCAAGGCTGCAAGCAGAGCTAACTTCACTCAGTCTAACCTGTTTGAGAACTGCATCATAAATTACTAATGAACTGGTCTCAACCCAAATCAGATGGCCCTGCCTAGTTCTCTGCTTAATCTCTTGGTGGAACGGTCCAAAAGCTTTGTGATTGTGAAAGGCCTCACTCTACAAACTACACAAAAAAAGTTCTTCCTTTGTGTTCTTTGTACGGAAACTGACACTTGAGTATCACTTCACCTGGATAAATAAAAGCTCTTGTTTTTCTGTGCCTATAGCACAGCCATTTTATACATTTGTGTCTTGTTTACCAGTCTCCATGAGCCTTATGCTCCCTTGTATTTCAAAGACCTCTGCACATTTGACTGCCTGCTCCCCTATGAAACTTGCTGTATTATGCAACCCACAGGCTAGGGTCACTTTTCTCAACACACACTTAAACTACATGCCTCCACTCCACACAAGGGGCTCCCATATTCTCTGCTTGGATCTCACCAGTTCCTGGTCACTTTATGAATCTTTCTTTCACTGACAATGGATACAATAATACACACATCCTCTCCCTTCTTCTTGCCACTCATTCTCATTCCTGCATCAACTCCAGTTGTGCAGGTTCAATTGTTCAAAGATTTATAAATATTAAAAAAAGTCAATAACATTTAGAACAAAATTAAAATCTAATAGGAGCTACGTGCTTTTTTTTTTTTCTTTTTTTTTAAACCTACAGCACATAAGACATCTGATGTAAAAAGGGAACGAAGAACGGGAGGACGCAGGAAAGTTGTGGAAAAAGAAGGGAGATGGGATATAAAAATTGAGAAATGCGATGGAGTTTAACACGCACAAGCAACTAGAAGTGCAATATTCCAGCAACTCACAAGTAACTTCCTACTGTTACAAATCAGAAAGGTGAAAAAAGTTATGTACAGTAGCAACAACCATATTATGTATATGGACAGCCACAAGACTAACTAATTAAGAGCAACAATAAAACAGAGTAGAGATAAATTGTTAGATAAATTGTTAGATAAGGGGATTAGATGAAATCTAATCTTGTTCTCTCAACTTGTTCTCTTTCCACCTCTTAACTTCCCAACTTTGGGGGACTATTTCACCCTTCTAGGTACCGTATGAGACGAAACAAGAAGGGAAGAGCTCGACTAGATCGCTCTACCGAGTAAGGTGAGATAAGGAATAACAGGGCAAGCACGAAAAGCTCCTTGCTGCCACTGTTGAAGCACGCTGACAACAATCTAACAAAACAGTTTTTCTGTTTAGTATTTTGACAGGCTGCCAACGTTTCCTGAAGAATTCAAGAAAAAACAGGAAGTGGCAAAAAATTCAACTTGCAATTTGACAAAGGCTAAGTTTCATACAATAAAAAGGTACTTCCCTACTCTGCCTTCCAAATACGAAAGGCCTGCTACATACTACAGAAGAGAGCCTACTCAGAGGAGGTCATAGAAACAGTTTTTATAACTATTTGTACAACTCAAGCTCAAAAAGGTAAAGACAGCAACTGCCATCAGCCCTCTGTACAATACAAATATCTTTGATTATACATTCACATTCTTTTCTTTCCTAGGCTCTTTGCCTCAAGCGCGTGCTTTGCTCAAGGAAACGCAGCATATTCAACAGAAGTCTAAACACTCCTCTGCAGGCTGGCATTCAGAATAAGCAGCTGCAGTTATTCACCAGCCATCTTTTTGGCTGTAGTCCACGACTGTGTCCCTGGCAGCTTGGATTCTCTTACGGATGTTGAGAGTTCAAGAAAACGAAAGTTTCTGCTTCCTTACCTCAGCAGGTAAAGTATTCCCTGCTATTTAAGATATGCCATCCTTAGCTCTTCTTCCTGTCTAAGCTGAAGTCTACCTGTGCGCTCCACGGAGGAGTAATCATTGACAGGAGAAAAGGAGAGCCTGGCTCAGATCTGGCCTGGGGAGGACAAAGACCTGCAGTGGGCCTGAAGGCAGAGGGGGAGGAAAAAAAGAAAGGGAAGGTTACAGGATATCTGCAGTGTCCTAGACAGAGACAGGTAATCTGTGATGAAAGGCTGCTAAACTCCTCCTTGGTAACCACTGGTACAAGGGCATGCAGTAGGTAAGGGGTGTCACGTGGAAGAAAGAGCAGTAACTGATCATCTTGCTGATGACTTTTTTTTTTTTTTTTTTTAAACTAGTCAGAGGGACCCCTCATGCTGCTGGATGACAGGACGGTCCAGGTCCCCCGCAATACCTCTTCACTCAAGCCAAGAGGAGCCTAGCCAAGAATGCTTCGAGTCTGATAACATGCATGGCAGCCACTAGACATCTTTGCTTCCTGGACATGATCACTGTTCTTATTCTAAGTTATCAATTATTATTGAGGAGCAGGGACAGTCATAAAAGCTGTGCTACTAAGAAGTAATTTATGAGTAGCTTATGCCTTTCCACTGCCTTCTAGTGTAAAGACAGTTAATTTAAAAAAGAATATATATATATTATATAAATATATATATGTGTACACACACACAAACATCCACTTTGAAGTCAAACAGCTCGTTGCATACATAAACATCAGGTAAGAGAATGAGAGAGCCTGGCAGTCGCTTAACAAGCTTTGAATTGATGAAAAATATATATAATTACACAACATATTATACATATACAAACAATTTCTATTTGGTACACTGAACACAGAAGCAAACACAACAGCAAAAGACAACAGACAAACTATTTCACAGGACACGGGTTAGTTGCATTTCTGGTCACCTTAACACATAAGACATGTGCACAGTACAGCTTAC